ACAGTAACCCATAATCTTGAGTAAAAAATAAATAAATCTGTGGTGGAAATAAGTTATGGATCCATAGAAAAGGGATCCAGTTCATGTAAATTAGCTAAGATGACATTCGGAAAAGCTGTTTTTGGTACTTGGGAGCTGGGTGTATTTTTTAGCCCTGAACACTGCCGCGTCACTTTAAAGGTGATCTGTGTGGGGGGTTTTTTTTTTTTTATCATAATAGCCATATATGTCTTAATTCTTTGCTTTTTAACCATATATTAGTTTTTAGATGAGTAACAAACACTTTACAAAACCATAGCTGCTAGGGATATGCAAGAGACTGGTTATGTATTCAAAACGTCCCTGAAGCCTTTGCTCCATGTTCCTCAGTTTTGCCTGAATCCTGTCATATTGTTAGAGTTACAAATTTAAAAAAAAATACCTGGAAGTACAACCAAAACTGACTGGGAAGAATTTATTGGAAAATCAATAGGCATGTGTACTTCCTCCAGTACCATCCATATTTCTGACATCTTTGATGTCTGTTTTCACATGTCTTCAAGTTAACTCTATATTTATTTATTAGAAGTATATGTATTTCCAACTGATGATATGATTACGTCATGTGTCCAGTCAGCAATGTTCTGAGATAATAAAAAAGTAATAGCTTGCTTAGTTTCTAAAGGGTCATCAAGGGGAATCAAAAAGCCAAAAAAAAAAAAAAAAAGAACAACAAAAGAGGAAGAGAATTTAAAAGCTACACTGTTTGAAGCTGTTTACATCAGTAACTGATTAACTAAAGCCAGTAGCCTTATTAGACAGTGGCACAAATTTTCTGTCTTCACTTACTTGAACTGATTACCTAGAAAGTTCCCCCAGAAGCGTTGTACCTGTGCTGTGACTTATTAGCATGAAGTACAGGAATCCTGAGAGTGCTTATGTGACTCCTCAGGTGCTCCAGAATATCTATGCATCTTAATCAGCGCTCCTGCTATCCATCCAGCGTGGGGAAACTCTGCTGAAAACAGCTCAGGGGTGATAGAAACAAGCCCACTCCTTACAGACATTGATGCGTGTCTAATGAGTCCATCAGCCTGACAGTGCTACATCCCGGGGGACCCTCCGTTCATGATTACCACTGTGTCACATACCAATGTTCCTAGATTGAAAATGCCATCTGTCATTACATCTGACTATGTTTACCAAACAGGGGCGCGAGGTAATTCATGTGCAAGTGCACCTGTTTGTTGTTTTGGCAAATTAAAACAACCTCTCGTCACATGTCGCACCACTCTCATTTCCTCTATATTCTCCAAAAGTCAAATCCTGTAATTTTATAGACCCAAAGGAGTGCATAAATGTCACAAGCCACCAGACTATGAATGATTAAACAGTTTTACCTCAGGAGCACATGCTGTACATTAGTTTGAAAAAAAAAAAAGTATCTGCATGCTGTTAGTCATCAGCACAATTTTCACACATAGCACGAGGCAATCATGCTGAAAATGATGTATATGTCAGAATTGAAACAGGATCCCTGGGGAGACACGGTGATGTGGAACCACTCATATAATATAAAAGGCTGTTGCACACCACACATCAAAAACCTCTTCATTTCACTTAATGCTGAAAGGTTTTAGCACTTTAGATTCCGTCAACACTCGAAAAAAGCAATTTCCTTTCGCTCTGAATACGGTAAATATTTTCACAGTGTCTCCTTTGCTATGAATCCTCCCCCCCAAGTCTGAAGAGGGAAAGCTTTTCTGGAAAGCTGAGACAACGGCAGCCACATAAAGAACGCTTTGCACATCGCCGTTCAGTAATTTACTTTTATCTCCCACCACGTACAGGTGCACTTCTCCTGGTGAGGTGAAAAAAAGCAAAACGAGGTCAAAAGAGGTGAGAAAGAGTATGTGCAAGAGTGGGTGGCTGTGTTTGATTTGGCGAACTGGATTTAACGTAGCACACTTAAGCTCTTTGAAAACATAATCGTCAACTTTTTGCTGCATAGGAAGTGAAGCCTGCAAACCTGCTATTACACATTAATTACCATGTCATTATCATGTCATATGATGATGTCAGTGTTGATGATGTAACAAATTTTATAATAAATGTTACATAAAAAGTCACAGCTGAAATGGTCAAGCAGCTATAAGGTAAGTCTTCCTTATTGTGTTGTTATTTACACACAAAAACTTGCTCACATGGCATTTAAATGTGAACATCTAAAAAGGAAGTGGGACTAAAAGCTTCAGAATTGAGAAACACATCATGAATTTCCACAGCTATACAGTGTGAGAAACAAAGTGGCGTGTGTTAGACTTCAGCAGTGTTTAGCTGCCATGCTGCCTTGTTATCGCTCATGTTCATATTCCACTCTCAACCGTGGACAGTTTTTGTCTTTCTGCAGTTTGTAACATGTGCTCCTGTTTCTGGTCGACTTCCTCTAGGTGTTAAGGGAAGCCTTCTGTGCCCCGTGATTCAAGTGTGTGACATACAAAAAGCAATCATATGATAAGACAGACGCTTATGGTTTCAGAAAGCTTTTTTTGCCCAGATACAGCCTGAGTGTGTGTATGTGTGTGTGTGTGTGGCAGTGTAGGTGGGGGGTGGGAACTTGTTTACAGCTCACACACGCTGCTTAGAGTCCTCTCGACAGGGGAAGAAAGACGGCGTAGCAGAACTTGGCAGAGTGAAAGTGCAGTGCACTAGCGGTGAGTTTTCAGGGATAAAAATACTGCTGGTGAGCAGCCTCGAGCTCAGCGGTAAGACTAGAGGAGCAGCAGCCTCTGGGCTTTGAAGCATCACTTATCTATGGCAATCGGCCCAGTGTGCTCAGGCAGGTTCACCAAATCTCCATAAAAATGCAAATTGCCTGTAAGTCTTCAGATTAAACTTTCTGGAAGTAAAGTTGAGGGGTTTTTTTGTTTTGCTTTGCTTTTTTATAGCACTGAATACAGCGATCACGTGTTACACCGGATGATAGATATTGATGTTTTGTTTTTCACGGGCATCTTGTTTTAGAATAAAACTCTCCCGCAGTGCACTTTATTTTTCTTCTTCTTTTTTTCTTTCTTTTTTTTGCAACCAGCACAGGGCTTTGGAGAGGATAAAACCACTTAAGCCATAGCTGCTCACTATAATACACCACATATTACATTTCTGGAGAAAAATGAGGGTTGTGTGAAGCCAGGGAAACCTTAAATGAGCAGATCCTAAGGGTGAGGAGCTCAGTGAAGGACCCATTGCCAAGCAGCCCTGCAGCCTGGCAGCTCTGTGCTTGATTGGTCTCGGTGGGAAACCGGGATAGAGCGAGGGCAGAAATCTTCATCTTCATGCACGTGCATGCACACAGTCGGCATAGACAT